TTCTGTCACAAAGCCTCTGAATCTATAAGATTGTTATGGAAGTTCCAGCAGACTAACACACATACTATAATGGAACAAACTCAAACTTTGGAGTGGGACAGATTCCAGCTCTGCAAATTATAGCTCCTTGCTCTCTGTAAGTAACTCACCTCACTGAACCTCATTTTCACTATCTATGAAACATTTGGAAGTGTGCTCCAACGAAGTTTAGCTATCATACCCATATAGAAAACACCTAGGCAAAATATGGCACAGAATTAAGTATTCAAAGTATTATGAGATGTTTAAAAAATTAGCTATTTATCACGTGTCTACAGCTACAATACTGTCCAAACATCACTGATGTTTCAAGTAAGTGTGAACACTGTTGAGTCAACACAGATGGAACACACCTACAGCTTGAATCCCCCTTTCTAAGCATGGACCTTCATTTCAATCCCTATCACATGAGTTCTTCATCATAGCTGCACAATGTTTGTTCTCTCTTGACTTCCATACTTTTACTAGTAGAGGAATTTAACATCACTGAATTGTATTCCTAAGTATCTGAAGAACACAGAGGCACTGATTTGAAGGGAAACACACACTCCCATGTTCAATGCAATTTACAATATACAAGTTATGAAAACAAACCTAAGTGCCTACATACAGATGAGTAGATCCGGAAGATGTGGTTTATACACACTATGGAATAATACATGGCTGTTAATAAAGATAAACTATTGTTATGTGCAGCAACATGGATGAAACTGGGAGTCTGCTAAGTGAAATAAGTCAGAAGAAGAAAGATGAAAACAAGATGATTTTACTTACATATGGAATATAGAAAACTAAACAAAAGGTAAGATAAAGCCAAATTAAGAACTAAATCTACAAAGATGACTATAGAATTGAGGCTAATAGAAGGGAAGGGGAAGGAACAAAAACAAAGTCAGGAGCACATGGACTATGGTGGTGAACTACAGGTGTGGTATGTTAACACTGCAAGGGGGAGATCTTCTAAAATACCAACAGCAATGTAAACCAACAATACCGCAATTAAAAAAATCTGTATATTCTCTATTAAAATGATAAATTTTATACATATTTGCTTTGCCACAATTAAAAAAAAAATTCTATTATCAACTATTTATGGGACACAGGTTCTTCAGCATGACCTCAATATTCCTCCCAGTCTTCTGTGCCCGATATTTAGCCACTGAAATATTAACATTGTGTGGTCTAAATTGTTTCCATTCTGTGACTATTTTCTTAAAAAAATTATTTCTGGTAGAAAATAGTAATTCCTTAGCTTAACATTCAAGACCCCACTTTGCATACATTTGTGATTATACTTTCTGCTTATCTCCTATAGTATGGACATCTCTGTCAGACAATTTTTGTCTTCTATACACCTCATGTAACCCCAATTGAACTTTCTTCCACAAAGCATTTTCTGACTACCATAATCCAGATTGGTTTCCTTCTCTCACTGTTACAATTAAGTAGATGCTCTTGCCATTCTTTTAAAGTATTGTAGAATGTACACAACATGTTTTGCTCAGCTAAATTGCCCCCTACTTAAAGTCACAATGCTTAAGCCTTTGTCTCTTGGAATCAACCTGTGTCTAAGTAGAAGGTATTAAGTAAATATTGAGGCTCTGATTCAATTTCAAGTGAGGCAAACATTTACATTTATATTATGGAAAATTTATTAGTGGGGAACATTCAAATAATAGGATTTACTAGTTAACTCTATATTAAATAAATCTTACCCTAAGATCTTTTATTTCTTGAAACATATCTATTTCCAAAATATACCTGAGATTATTAAGATAAATACAATACTGGCTTACTAAGAATAAAAGATTAAAAGTCAAGGAATATAACAAAACTGACATACTGAAAATCCCAATTAAGAAAGGTGAGTTGGCCCTCCCTGGTGGTGCAGCAGGTTAAAGCACAGCACTGAGAATCTAAA